GAGGAGGAGGAGGAGGAGGAGGAGGAGGAGGAAGATCTTCCTTCTCCTCCTCCCATAGCTGACGAGCGATGGCAACGGGCGACGATGACGAGGAGGAGGAAGATTATGACCGGGAGGAAGACGACGATGGGGAGGAGGAAGACAGCGATGATGGGGAGATGGCGGACGACGATGGGGAGGATGAGGAAGAAGACGATGACGGGGAGGAGGAAGATGGCGCTGAGGAGGAGGAGGAAGACGGTGCTGAGGAGGAGGACGACGATAACGCCGTTGTCGATGGTGTGTGTGTCTCTCTCTCTCTCTCCCACACACACACACACACACACACATACACACACACACACGCATACACACACACACACATACACACACATACACACACACACACACACACACACTCTTACCTCAGCGGCAATGGCGACGCCTACGGCGACCCTGGCGACAGCGGCAACGGCGATCCCCGCGACGGCGACCACCATGACGGCAACGGCGATGGCGACCCCTGTCACGGTAACAGCGATGGCGACCTCCGTGGCGGCAACGACGTCGGCAACGGGTTTGCCAACGAGAAGGTGCGTGGCGTGGGGGTGGCAGCAGGGTCAGGCTGCAAGGCAGGACGGGGGCTAGACTGTCCTGCCACGAATTCGAAATTTGCGTCGGGACCATCTTCCCCCCGCCCCGCCTTGCAGTCCGACCTCCGACCCACTCCCTACTGTAACCCCCCACCCCGACTGGGCCACAAAACAGCCCGGAAAAGGCCCCCCTACGACCACGTACGCGGGGTCCTTTTTGACGTACGCGGGCGCGTGTATGCTGGGCCGCGTACGTGTACGCCGTGCAACCCAGGTTCTCTATAACATATATATTTTTCAGATTTTTGGGATTTTTTTTTTTTTTGGGTGGAGTCTGCATTCGGTACGAACAGCCAAACGCGTCTACAGGGCGTTCGGGCGTTCGGGTTCGGCCGTTCAGCCCTGGCTGAACACCGGCTACCATGTATATATCGTCACAAACAGAACTGCCCGGTAAACCGTACACAGAGAGAGAGAAGAGGACAACAAACGAGGGGCTGTGACAAATATATATATACATCGTCAAATAGAACTGCCCGGTAAACCGTAGGCAGAGAGGGAGAAGAGGACAACAAACGAGGGGCTGTGACAAACTGTTTCG